AATTAAAAAAAAAATAGGGGGGGGGGGCGAAACCGGCCGGTCCGGTACCAGAACCGCCGGTCCGGGAACCGGAACCGGTACCGGCCGGCACGGTGACGGTTCCGGTGACATGGGGTGGCGGTACCGGAACCGTACCGGAACCGTACCGTGTCCACCCCTAGTTGCTCCCATTGCTTTCAAAATTTACTTCTTATTCCCTCTTGGCTTCATAAAAATTGTAAAAACACTAGTGACAATGGTTGACTGTTTTTTTCATCAATTTAATTTATTTGGGAAATGGGTTAAAATATATGAGAGGTATGTTAGTAAAAAAACAAGTGAATATTTAAAAAATGGTATTGATTAAACCCTTTCAGAGGGGGACATTAATGTATGATTTTGAAGCTAGGAGGGAGAACAAAGTAAGTTTTGAAAGCAGAAGGGATAACAATACACACTTATCAAAGTATGAGAGGTATCGATGTAATAAACTCGTCCATGATACACTTTTAAGGAAGAAAAAATTCATATCATTATTGTATAGTTGTACAATTGAACACAAATACTTTGAAATTCAATAAATAACACGGATTCTCTAAGTATTTTTATATGTTTTTCATCGCTACTCAAAAAAATAATACTCCCTCGTCTAAAAATTTCTTTTCGGATTTGACTTGACACGGAGATTAAGAAAAATTAAAGTGTAAAGATTTTCCATGTCTTGGCCTTAATGTGATAGGATAAAGTGAATAGTGTAGAAAACAATAGGGGTATAATGGTACATTCTTAAAAAGCTTTTTGCCAAATTTTTGGACAGTCTAGAAAGAATAGTGAAAGAAATTAATGGATTGAAAGATCGGTGGGGTTCTAGTGACACCGAAGTACGGTGCCACTCCGGTGCCACTGGTATTTTGGGGCACCTCCGGTGCTCCGTCCGCAAAATTGACGGTTCCTACCCCCCTAACCCACCCCCTAAACCCCCCACCCTACCCCCGCCCCTGCACCCCCGCCCCCACCCCGCCGTAAGCCCCCCACAAAATGTGTGGCTATTATGTATTGCATAATAGCCACACATTTTGTGGGGGGGTGGGGGTGGGGGTGCAGGAGCGGGGGTAGGGTGGGGAGTTTAGGGGGTGGGTTAGGGGGGATAGGAACCGTCAATTTTGCGAACGGAGCACCGGAGGTGCCCCAAAATACCAGTGGTACCGGAGTGGCACCGTACTCTGATGTCACTAGAACCCCACCGTTGAAGGATTATATGTTCATAGTTGTGTTCTAAGTGTTGGGTGCGGGCGCCACTGTAAACACATGTGAATGTTAGAGCATCACTGTGAACATATTAAAACTTAAGAGTAATGAGATGAATTTTTCATCTAAAGAAAAAGTGAAATGAAATGCTTGATTTGGATTATTAACCATGTAAACTAAAAATTGATTAGAAATGATTTTGAATCACGCAATAAATATATTAGAAATGATTTCAATTCATCTCAAAGTACTCACTATATAAAAGCAGAATGAATCTTGGGTGGATAGCCAACATTTATATCCCAATTTGTATCCCACAGATTTGCACTAACATTTTGTATTAGTGTAAAACTAATTTTTGTTAACGCACCAACACTTTGTGTCCGTGTAAATTTGTGGTAACGCACCAACACTTGTGTCGGTGTAAGTCATCAAAATGTTTGTGCATAACTGTAGTCTACAAATGAGGTACATTTTTTGGTGTAAGTATTGGGTAAATTGGTGAAGAAGTCTTGGTTTTGCCGCCGCCAAATTGGTGCTTGGGGGTGAAATGTTGCCAACTCAAGTACTCAACACACTAAAAAACCATGCTAGGACACCATGGTTGCTCTTATCGACGACAATCACAAATGATTTACAGATACACAAACGATAATTATCTATGGATATATATAGTACTATTGTCTATGTATATATATAAAATTATTTATGATTGTCATTCGTCAGACACCTAGTGTGGATTTTTAGCATTACTCGAAATGAATACAATCGCCATCATATCGTTGGCTGCATTCATTCGAGGGTTCCGTTGACATTTTTTTTGTTGATCACTGTGCTACTGTGTTTTGAGTTATTTACAATGCTTCGATTGTAAAAATGATAAATTATATCTCCCTCAATCCTCCTAGAAATCCCGACCCCATTCGAACCTACCTATCTCTTCAATTACACCCTCGTTTTTTGGGTGGTGATAGTCGTCACAGCCACCAAACACTAACTTCACTCCACACACTAAATTCACTCCATTAGTTTCAAATTTTTTCTTTATACTTATTCAAAAAAATTATTTTTTAATCCATAAACTCATATACAACATTTTGCAATTTTAAGATTTTGATTAAAGTTCTAGTTTGAATCATAATATACTAAATATATTTTGTTTTAATAAATATAATTATATGCAGTATATTTTAATTAGATATCTTTTAAAATAAAATTTGTAGTTTTAATAATAATTCATATTTATTAACATTTATATAGATTTTTGCTCTTGAAAATGAATAAAAGAGAAATAATGGTTAGTAATTTTAAAGATCATACTCCGTATAAATTTTTTAAGTAAAATTTGTATAACCATCTTTTTAAAATAATAAAATAACTATGTAGATTAAAAAATGGTGAAAAACATATTGGTATGATATTTAGAAAATCGAAGATTTTATACAAAATCAATAGTCATTTAATGTATTAACAATGAAAGTTATTTTAATTAATGAAAGATTTAAAGAAGAGGCTCCAAAGTTATACAATTAAAGCTAAAACTAAAATATATATTCGTATTATTTTATTTGAAAATTAATAAAATGAAATAAATGATGAAAAATTTTAGACATTGTTTTATAATTTTTTTAACATAATAAAGTTATATATTTTTTTTTTGAATAATAACATATTTTTGTGCAGGTGGAGCCGGGGGTCTCTTGGAAACAGCCTCCCTACTTCCGAGTAGGGGCAAGATCTGCGTACACACACCCTCCCCAGACCCAACTATTGTGGGATTCACCTGGGTTGTTGTTGTTGAATAATAACATAATAATATTTATCGAGAGTGTATTTAGTTAATGGGTGTGTTTAATGTTTTAGCGGTGTAACTATCGCCACTTTTTTTATCGTACACTCCAAACTCATTCATTCTCCATTCTCCAAGACTCTAATGAAAAAGGTACTCTGTAATTACAAATAATAATCTTGAATGTTAGGATTTAAGTGCGTGAATGCTTTTTGTGTGTTTTATTTGAGTATTTTGCTAATTGTTATGAACTCAATTAATCTTAATTTCATTCACTATACACTGATTTAGTTTTTATTTTCTATTGTGTGAAATTGTAAAAATTATAAGGTGTAATTAATCTTTTATGCACCTGTGATTTGATTTTGCTTCCCTTTCTTCAGAATATTAGGTTTTTCAATTCTTTACTAATGGCTAGTGAAAATTAGTCACTTGTGATCAAAACTCAAAAGATTTAATCTTCATGTCTTTTGAGTGATTTCCTGTTATTAGATCTTGTGCTTTAGTGGCCAGCCCAGCAGTCCAACCGGGCCAGGCCTAACAATTTAAGGGGCCTAATTTTTTTTAAATATTATATATATATATATATATATTGAAGCCCAGCCCAGACAAAGCCCAAAACTCCTAGCCCTCCTATTTCCATTCCACAGCGGAAGTAGTCAACGCCCAAACCCACGAAGGCACGGACGGAAATTAAAAAAGACGCCAGAAGGAAGTCGCCGAGAGAGAGTCGCCGCCGCCTGCCCGCACGCTCCACTGCTCCAGAGTCTAGCCGCTTCCCGCCAGACGCCGCCTCTCCGGAAACACTCCAGCCTCCAGGTCCAGTAGTCCAGGTACGTAGGTAAAAAAATACCAATTTCAGAATTTCTTTAAGAATTTTAAAATTTGTTATGTGAAAATCTGAAAATTTTCAATCTTTATAAATTTGTGTTATGAATGTGTTAGTATTTGTCCACACATACTATCCAATGCACTTCTTTAATCCATTTTATCTTGTAATTTGTATATTAAAAAATTATAGAAATTATATATTAATAATCTATATGTTAAGAAAAATCAAACAAAATTACACATGACTATATTTAGGCTTACACATTGAGAGAATTTGATGAGTCAAAGTGCTTAAATGAACAGTTCCAAAAGTCAAAACTGGACGAATACTCCGGGACGGAGGGAGTATATGAATTTGTCATGTGAAAAATTGAAAATCTTTATTTGAATTTTTTTCTAATTTTTATGAATTTGTTGTGAAAATTTGAAAAGCTATTAATTTAATAATCTGAAGATATTTTTTTTGGAAATTTAAAGTTTGTATTTGTGTATTTGATTTCACTAAGATGTGATCCATCAATTTGCTCTAAAAATGCAAGGAGAACTTTACGAATTCTCGGCTAGCTTTTACAGTATATAATTATACTACTATGATTTTGTCATTTACTTATTTTCTTTTAATACTATTGGGTTAATTGTCATTTAAATATAATTAGTTTACATATTTTAATTGTTTAGACCAATAGGGAATTAGGGATAAGACTTCTAAGGCCTTTTTTTTCCTGTCTTGGCCTAGACCGTTGAAGTCACATGACCGCCCTGCCTTAGTTGGGACTATTACATTAATCTTTTGTCATCTAAAAATGACAGGAAGTCTGTGTCAGTATTCCTCAGTAATGTAAACCATTACAGAATTATATGATGTCTAGCATCTATAAGCTAAAGCTCTTTGGCAATAAACCTAGTTAATCTCTGGAGTATGTGGTTATGATGTATGAGACAATTTTTATATGTGCTTACCTGCATACTAATCAGTGATTATAAATATGATTAAAGCTTGCTTCATAACTCTTTTGCTGCAAATAAGTCATTGTATGTGTTTAACTAGCCTGAGAAAATTTCTGTTGCTATGGAATTTGTGTTTGATTTGTGATATGTGAAAGCTAAAAATATTAGAGTGAATTCCCAAAACAATCTTTTCTAATAAGGTGTTTTTCCAAATTAGTCCTCAATAAGCAATAATTACCAACATGGTCCTTTATAATTTTGATTAATTCCTTAAATAGTCATCTGTCAAAAATGTCTATTAAATGAGAGTTAAATGGGAGGTATTTCAGTATTTTTTTATTATTTAGATTTAAAGTATATTATCAAATGCGCCTTTATAATTACGTGTTTTTCCAAAATGATAATTTCTAAGTAAGTATTATTTCGAAATGGAGTCCATAAGCTGACTCGGGGTGGGTTCGTTATTCTAGCAGCCACCCACTTAATTTGAAAGGGCCATTTTGAGGACTTAGTCATAATTCAAACGATTGAAAATACCAAAATACCCTCCATTTAACTCTCATTTAACAAGCATTTTTGACACGTGACTATTTAGAGAATACATCTCAATTATAAAAGACCATGTTGATAATTATTGTTTATTTAGGATTAATTTTGGGAAAACACCTAATTAGAAAGACCATTTTGATTCACTCAAAATATTATTAATGACAAAGTTTTAGTTTCGGACACATAATGGACTTTCTATGAAGTTTCGGGCACATTGGGACTAGACTACTACTATTTATACGCCATGAGTCTTTCATAATTAGCAGTTGTAAAAGAGCTTCTTCTTCAATTTCTCACACGTGAAATAGTCACATAAAGTTAACCATGGCTGAAGACTGGTTTTCTTTAAGCAGTACACCAACATGTGATAGCATTGTCCCTGACTTTTGTTAATAGTCATTGCATATGAAGTCATGACGGGAAACTGTTTCCTCTTAAACTTGAATGGAATCCTCTCATCCGAAGAGGTTAATGAGAGTGCCTAAGGATTACAACTTCATGACCGGCATTTTTTCCTGTCATCAATTTCCCTTGGATCAAATGATTCCCCAATCTTGTTACAATTAGTCTTGTTCCATTGTCCAAACTCATGGGTTGATCGATGTTTCTAAGCAGCATTATTGGTGTCCCAACCTTCAAAGTAAGCTCGTGGTTTGGGACTCCAGAAGCCCGAATGTTATTCAAAAACTCAGGTGAACGTAAATCAGTACATCTGACTTACAAATGCTATCAGAGCTTAGGTATGTTCTAGACTCCTCACTAACACTCATCGATGCCCTATAATCATTAATTGCATCAACGACGTCTAATGTCGGTGCAAAGTAGGTTGGATCATTGCAATGTTGTTAAAGTCTTGGTATGTTGAGTGCACAATTGCTTCAATTGGATTGCTGGAGTTTTTTTAAACGCATATCATGTGGAATTACTACTTTACCACATATTATTGGCAATGTTTTTAGTTTCGAACGCATGATGGACTTTCTGTGAAGTTTCGGGCACATTGGGACTAGACAACTACTATCTATACACCATGAGTCTTTCATAATTAGCAATTTTAAAAGTGCTTTCTCTTCAATTTCTCACTATAATTTTTACATCAAAATTTAAATAAACAATGCTTCTTTAATTTGATCACACACCCACTTAACATGTAATACAAAGTAGTACAGATTAAATACTAAGTGGGGTTTATCATTTCGGTTATCTACACTCGTGATTATAATCCAATACTAATATACTCCTAATCTTATTATACTCGGTATATATGTGTAATAAAAGCTAGAGTACATACATAGTTATGAAAGGCGTTTGCCATAGTCGCTTATGACAGTTATGGCGCTGTAGCGACCCTCCAATGCCTGACCGGGCAAGGTGACGTGCGTGAGGCGCGCCATGGCAGTCGCCTTTCTCGTTCAAATCTATGGCGCATGCTAAAATCGCAATTTGAATCGCTGCGATCTGAATCACTGTAAGAATCGATTACTTAGATCGGGTAGGACCGTCGAGTGCGATTGCGCGATTTGAGTACTTCTCATATATGTGGCTTGAATTGCTGCAAGAATTGAAGATTTCTTGGATCGAGTAGGACCGGCGAGTTGGATCTTGAACCGTCAGATCGAGTCTGATCTAACAGATCTGATTACGATACTCCAAATCGACGCTTCAGCGATTGAATTTGCAGGAAAAAAATTAAATTTCCTAAGCAGGTAAAGAGTCGCACCTCTACGTCTCATGTCCTCAAACGGTTAGAAGGCTCCTAGATTTTCTTAAGTTCCCACTTTTGTAATTTTATCTCTTCTTAAGTTCTCCCTTAGATTTTCTTAAGTCAAAAGGCACGCACGAGTGAGGACAAACTGTGCAAGAAAGACTTGTGTTGGTTTGTGGGACCAGTCTACAATCCTATGAGCGGACGCTTACGGCCAGGATGGGGGCCGAGGTGTTACAAATGGTATCAGAGCAACCCGGATCGTGACAGCCCAAAAGAGCTTAGTTCACCTAGCGGGGAAGATCTAGGGGTTTGAAAAAAAGGATGCAACGAGGACGTTGCATTCTTAAGTGAGGGTGAATGTAATACCCTGGTTTGAAAATAAATGGATTGGAGAAAGAAAAGACTCAAAAAGGATTGATAGTATTACTCATACCAACAAGGTGCATCTTCTTTTTGAGAGCTCATCATTCAGAATCTCTTAAGTTAAGCGTGCTTGACTTGGAGCAATTCTAGGATGGCGACCCCCTGGGAAATTCCTTGGACGCGCACGAGTGAGGACAAAGTGTACGGGAAAGACTTGTGTTGGTTTGTGGGGTCAATCTACAATCCTATGAGCGAATGCTTACGGTTAGGGTGGGGGCCGGGGTGTTACACTTGGTTTTCTCAATTTCCCCCTTTTGTAATTTCATCTATATAGTCTACGTGGCTTCTTAGTCTATTTCAAAGTCTCTTTATTAGGATGTTATGAACTTATGACAATTTTTTTATTAGGATGTTATAACTACATATTTTATCTATGTTGTGTTTGTTTACATACATGTATATATGTATGCGTGTTTGTGAATGTGTGTGTCTCTGTGTGTGTGTGTGTATAAATATTCGTGTGTGTGTGTATTCTCTTTTTTTGGGTCGCCATTTGATCGCCCGCCACTCGCCACAAAAAGGTCCTCTCGCCCGCCACCCGCCTCTCGTCTTTCATAACTATGAGTACATACACTCATAGTAGACCATAGATTTAGAAACGTTCTTATCATGTGAGATTTATGGATTATTATTATTGTTGTGCTTAATGCCCGACATATGGAGTGTGGTCTGTGTGGATACGAATGTTTATGAATGCCATAACCTAAACTTTTTGGGTCCACTCTGGAATTCTGGATATGAAGGCTTTAATTTAGTATGCATACCAAGTAGTCAAGTACTAAAGTTTGCTTCTCTTATATTGTTTGGTACTCGGATGGGTGAAATAGAGACACCTCTTACGACATTAGAACATTAGGGGTTTCAACATTCTTCTTTAAACAAACACCAAGGACATGGGAGACTGCAATTTTTACCAAAGATGATGGATTTTTTCACACAAGCAGATTAATAAAGTTAGAATAAATAAAAAAATGCATATCCTTATATTACCTTGTATGAGAAGGCTTTTTAATAAGAAATTTCCAATTTTCTGTGCATCTGGATGTATGTACGTAAATGCGGTTACATTTTTTGTAGTAAATTTTAGACGGTTTTAATCTAGAATGTTCATTTCCTTTTGTAATTTTTCGTACATCGGGTTGGTTGTTCCTTGTACCAATCACCAACAGGCTAATCATTTTGAAGGCAGTCAGAAAATGGCGCTGGGGCTACTCCTAGGGATTGGGAGGACATTCAGGAGAAAGCGCACTGCTTCTCTCCAGATTCTTACTTCCAAAACTGGTCCAAGGAACTACTACAAGGGCAAGAATTGCAAGCCAACTGGTTTTCACACTCGCAAAGGTTTGACATCCTCAATTTTTAATTTATCAACAATTTCTTTTTTATTTTAATTGTTCTTGGGTGTTTGTTGCTGCGTTTATATGTGAGTTCTGATTTCGTGGTTGTTGAAGTTGGAATTGGTGTGTGCATGGTATCACAACTACAACTGCAACATCCTGCTTAATAATTCAAACTCAGTTTGGGATGTGCACAAATTTACCCCCAATTAACGAGTAGTAAACAGGCTGTTTATATTACGCCCTTGATACATTTACCGCCAAAAATTGCCGCTGTTTATATTACGCACTTGATACATTTACCGCCAAAAATTGCATATAATTCTAGCCTAGAACCGAAGTAGTTCTAATGTGCCATTTTGATTTTGTTGGATAGTCCATTATTTAACTAAAGTTAAAATGTTGTCAATAAGTATGGACTATGGAGTACTATTCTAGCTTCATTGGCAATGAAGGGGTATCTCGTATGAATGATTTAGAACATAAAAAAGTTTAATCTTTATGTTCCAATTCTATTATGGTGCAGGTGGGTATGTCGTAGTTCCTGAAAAGCTTCCGAATTATGTGGTTCCAGATCTAACTGGTTTCAAGGTACTCCCTCCGTCCCATTAAGATCTTCCTTCTTTCCCTTTTTATCCACCCCAAAAAACCAAAAAGATCTTCACTTTCCTTTTTTAAGAAAAGAATGAGTGGCTCGAAAAGTCTCTCTCTCCTCTCAGCAAATTCTAAAAACTTCTTTTTCACATTTCAACACTTAAACTCTATGAAGTTTCGCCTTATGTTGACAGCTAAACTCTTCCTCTGTCAATTTCAAAATGGCATATTCTAATTGTGAAACGCCTTTCTCGGTGTGTGTCTTCGCAGCTAAAGCCGTATGTATCTCAGTGCGCGACGGGAGACGAAACAACCGAAGCTTAGGATCATCAGCTATTTCCTTATGGGTTCTTGTGAGACGGAGACCTATCAAGGGCATACTTATTCAATAACATGACCTTGCAATGTTGAAAAGATTATTGGGCAAAGTAGCGGAACTATGTGTACCCAATTGTGAAGTTCTTTTGATTCTTATTGAAAAAGTTCTGAAGTGGTTTCAATTTCGTTTGAGAGCAGGTTCTTTTAATTGGTTTTAACTCTGAACCATAGGATGGAATTTTTAAAAGGCTAAAACTAATGCACGGTAGAGCCTTGGGTTCATTTCAAAATTGGAAGTGTGGGTTCCATCCCTCAAGTTATTAGAGCATCTCCAACCCATAGTATATATGGTAAAATTTACACTATATGCAATATACTATTCATTTTTTGAGACTCCAATGGATAGTGTAAACCAAAGGTTAAAAAACACTATAGTGGAAAATACAATTCCCAACTTGTATATATACAAGATGGTGCAAACCAAATGCTAAAATAATTATTTCAATATTTAGTTTTAAATAATACTAAAAATATTATTAATAGATTGGTTACATTATGCACATCATAAATGTGATTATAATTAAACCAAAAACTAAACACATAAATAACTTAAAATAATAAAATATTATAAAAAAGTATTATATAAAAGATATGGTTGAAGTGAGTATAAAAAAGTGAATGTGTAAAACATTGTAGATAGTGTAAAATAAATTTTACACTATCATTTTTTCCACTATGGGTTGGAGATGCTCTTACTCTTAAAAACGATAAAGTGTTGTGGCAGAAGCACTTAAATTATTATAAAGAAAAAGGCCTATTTTTCTTTTCTTTTACCCCAGAGTAGCACTCCCTCCGTCCCAAATTATTTGTCACATTTGTATTCCCGATGCAAAATATTAAGTTTTTTCAATTCATTTTATTTACATATTAGTAAAAAAAATAAAAAATAAAAATTACATATTAAAAAACTACATGAAAAGTTCTTCGAAATAAGAGGAGTCAAGAATATTTTATTTTATCAAATAACCAATGAAAACGTAGAAAAAAAAAAGTTTCCGCGACTGTTGAAAAAGCAAATGTGGCAAATAAATTGGGACGGAGATGCATTAGACATTTAGACCATTTGTAGCTTTCTACCACTACTCACTAAATTAGGAGTCACTTAGTGTCACACCAGCATTGACATTTATCATCTTACTCACTTTATGCTTGTATTTTGGTTTCACTGATTACACTTTTTTAATATTAACCTATTTTTACTCAAATTAGAATTTCTATCTTTTAAAAAAGAATATTTCTTTTTTAATTTTCGGTTTATTGCATGTTTTTGTTTGTTTTTTCTTTTGGGTTTATTATTTTTTGGGGTTTATTTTTTACTATTTTTTTCTTTTGGGTTTCTTGTTTTTTTAATTTTTTTCCCCTTCTTTTTATTGTATAGAAATAAAAGAAATAAATACTCTAAACTAGATTTGTTTAAAAAAGGTACATGAAACAAAAATAATAATAATACAAGTAACACTGATTTAAGCGTGTCTTGCAATTCGTTTATCATCGAGGACTTCTTTAACGTCTACATTGTTCGCCTCGTAGTCTGCACAAGAAAAAAATAGTGCAGATTTCTTTCTTTTACCTTTTTTTAAGCAAAACAAAAAAAACATAAACAAGTTTAAATTAAACGAGACATAACATCAAAATTATATATGTAATATTGGTGTCGTTAGGTATATGTTGTGAAAACGTTTCCAACGACAAATTATTTTTCATTTATGACTTGCATACAATTTGTTATGATTAAAATAGAGGATTCAATACGAAAATGAAATAAAAGGAAAAAACCTTTAAAAAAAAGAGTCGCCCAACCATGGTGGCCACGCCGAAGTTCACGCAAACAGCTCACGCAACAATGGAGGGGTGTTCATCCGTGATCATAGCCAAGGTGGCAATGCCACGCCAGATCACAACTCTTCTGAAATAATTTTCTCTCTTCCATTTATCATTATGACTTTTACATTTAAAATATAAGAATAAAGTTAGGGTAACCCGAACGATTTTGAGTTACTATGACCTCAAGCTTTGCACAAACACTCACAGTTATGGACATATGGTTTGTGTGGCACATGAGGTGGGGGGGGGGGGGGGGGNTTTTGATTTTAGATAATCATGTCCGACTATATATGAAACTTAATTCAAGACAAGGAGTAATACTTTTATGAAATTGTATTGAGTAATGTTTGAAAACCAAAATTCATTTGAACTCTTGGAGTTCAATTCCAAAATTTGATACTCCGTACTAGGGGTGGACACGGTACGGAACCGGTGACACGGCGACGACGCCAGTGACGGTGGCGGGTACCGGCGGTACTGTTGCCGGTGACGGTACCGTACCGGTACCGTGTCCACCCCTACTCCGTACATCATTTTAAATTCAAAATGCTATTTAGAAATTATAAGAACTCAATTTTGAAATTTGATTTGAGATGTGGAAGAACATGGATAGTTAACGAGAAAGCTGAAACAAAATTTGTACTAACCAAATATGGCGTTGTGATGTACTCGTATAGATGGCATCGTGTGCGGAGACAGGGTATCATGGGCGGATAGGCGAGATGCCTGGGATATAGTAAAAAAATTGATTGATAGAAGATGATTTTTCGAGCAACAAAGATGACATGAATTTATAAATTAAATGGAGAGGTATGAATTTGCAATGGAATTTTTGGCATGTTTGACAATTCAAATTTATATTTCAAATCTAAATTTGGATCAAAATTCATGCTTGACAATCTTAAAATTTAATATTTTAATTTGAGGAGAATGTATCTAATTCATAACAAAAACTCAATTACAAACCTATATACCTACCCTTGTCAGTTTATATTCAAGAACTCAATTTTTAGAATTGAAATGAAAAAGCTGATTCACAAACATTACCTTAATGGTAATAGGAAAATTTTGGCACAATTTCAATCCCAAATTATATATATTCGCAAGCATATAATTTGAATCAAATTTAGAATAAAATTTAAATCCAAATTCCCAAAACATCACATCGCTTGGGTTTTTGAAGTATATAGAAGTTATATACGAGTATCTAACAATTTGTTTAAAATGTTCTTTAAACAAACAATTTACAAAAAAAAAAAGTCACCACCAAATGTGCATTTAAATTTCCAACACCATTCCCGGGTTATAATATAAAAGAACATCCCCTTTAACAACTTTATTATAATTAGCTGTAATATTCATTCATCTTATTATTAGTAAAGTTGGTAGAGAAGAAAACATCTACAACTACAGTATGAGTTCTGGAAAATATGGAAGAAGGCACCCCCAGGGATGATCTCCATTCTCCAGGGTCCTCTCTTTTACACTGCCATTGCCTTAAAAAAGAAAAGACCATAAAAATGGCAAAGAAATAAATTAGAGGAAGGGAGAGGATTTACAAGGGAGAGATATTAAAGCAGACCACTCATGAATCTGGCGGAGACGAAGATCCGCATCTTCCATTCTGAAAGCGAATGCTGTTGGCCACAACTGAGTCACTAACCAAGCCCACATCCACATTATTGTCGAAATTGAGTGAAACTCTGGGCTTTCGGCTTCTGAAAATTTTCCATTTGGTTTGCGAGGGCTTGTTACGATTTAATCCGGGTTTTATGTTTTGGATGAGAGTATTAATGATGAATGTGCATACCCGTTTAAATGGTTATTGATGGCGGTCAAGTCTTTTGATGGACTCTGGTATGCGTGGGTGCTTTCTCCAACGCAAGCATAGTAGCTTTTAGAACTGTGTGATATTAGAGCATCCATCTGCAAACAAGATTCAGTAACCCATGTAAGATTTCCAGTTTGCACTATATAATCCTATACTCATCCACTTTGATGAGATATGATCATGAGACAGTTCAAATTCTATCTCATAAAGTACATCTTTTTTTGAAGTACAAAAAACAAAAACTTGGCCAAAGACCTTGTAGTCCAACGGCATGATAGTGATTCTCTCATATGGGAGATCACTGGTTCGATCCCCCAGTGGGGTAATAACTCTACGTGCTTAATGGGTTGAGAATGTATGAACAAATACTACATTATAATAGAGTTATTAGTGTTAAAAACCAAAAACTTGAATAAAGAAAGTAGATGGCATCTCAAGTTAAGGTCATTGGTGTGGCAAAATTGGAACACATCGAATTTTGGATGACTCCATCCAATTTCAAGTTCATTTTGGCTTCTTAGAGCTTCATCCCCCCTAGTTCAGCTACATTTATGAAAGTTCAAAGCAGATTAACTTGACCAGATGAAGCCATTTTAGTAGTGAAAGATTGATACAGTATGTAGTAAAAGGAGAAATTGTTTTAAGGAAATTATAGTGTCAACAGAAATTCCATCTCAAGGACCATCAGAACTGAAATTTCTTACATACTTCACAGCGCAATAATATAATAGAGCAGTAACACTACCTTTGAAGATCGGAGCGGAGAAACATAAACATTATGAGCAGCAGATACTTTCTTAGGAGACATATCAGGGAGACTTGGAAAAGGGGATGTCTTGGGTGATGCAGGAGATTGACCTGATGGGCATCATATATAAGTATAATTATGTTGGGTCATATATCATAGCAAAAAAAACCCATTCACAAGTGGAATTCACCAGTGTCCCCGAACAAAAAATGAGAACAGAAAAAAAGAAAGTTAATTCAGAAAGACAGGGAATGAAGAAGACCTACCGTTGCTATTATCCTTAGATCCTGCATTTGTATTACTATGTTGAGATACCCCACCGGGCCCGAGCTCAACCAGAAGTGGTTTTACAGCACGAATAAATATTCCATTGTAAAAAGATATGATATCAACATGGTCAGCACCAGTTTTCTGTTTAAAATTATTCAAAATGATTAAATAATCCTAAAAGTGATTTAAGAAACTATTGGATAGAGAAAGGCACAAACCCCATTGCGTTGTGCTGAGGTCAAATCAACAAAAACATTTTGAAAAACATGAGTCTTGCAATGTGGCTGCTTTTGATAGTTGCATATTATTTCCTTGAAGGTTAGGTTAAGCTGAGAAATCTGCAGGACGCGAGTAATGCACAAGTAAGGGAAACAAGAACACCATAGATCTCAAATTGTTACTCCAACTGATAACTACCTTGCCAATACCAAAGAAACAGCAAAGAATAATCTGGTCAATATGACGGTTGAAGAAGAGAGTAGTCTGTTGACTAAGAATCTTTTGGAAAAGATGATACACGCTCTCTCTTATTTGCTGTGAAAGCTGTAGACGTTCAACCATGCCACTGATTCTCACAGCAGCCAACTTCAAAATCTGGGAGGAGACCATACAATTGATATAAAGTTAATAAATCAACCAGAGGAAAATTTAACCTTTAATGCATCTCAATTGCATGCAGCTAGTATAGTTAAATATCAGCACTGCACATGTAAAGAAGAAATTGAAGTGCACAACATCACATGATTGGATAAATAATTATCCATACAATTATAATGATCTGATTGTTATCTAATTAGAGGTACTATAACCAGAATACCATATTCGTCATCAAACTCATAAACTTATGGAACGGAATAACATGCTAAACATATGTTCCTGGTCAGGGATAGATAAGTAGGCTGCAAAAAGTAGTGAGTGCATAGATGGAATCAATGCTAAAAAGGAGTTCTAAACTTAGAGAAATGTACCACAGTTCAGAGTTTTTTTTTTAAAAAAAAGAATATTAATAAGGTGATGGTGGTAAGAACAACAACAACAACAAGAATTGAAGATCTAGTCTTCCAAAAAGAAGTATGAGTAGTGTGGATATAGAAGAAGCCTACACTTAGAAAATGGTCATGAAAGGTGTTGTCCAACATGGGTACCATGAGATGGTCTTTGAATAATTATTTTTCTATTACTTCTAAAAGGTATTGTAGATATATAAGAAGCCTACACTTGCAAAATGAACATGAAAGGTTTTTTCCGATATACGTGCCGTGAGGTGGTTCTTGAAGAATTATTTTTCTATTATTTCAAAACTGAAGAAGAGTATTATTAGTAATATTGGTCTTGTTATTGAAGACATCTTAGAGTTGTCTAGGTCTCTTGATTTTGGTGCTTTTTATTTCGTTAGGAGAGATGGAATTAAGCTAGTTCATGAACTTGCACACATCCAACCCCATGTCCATTGATTGATTAATTCATTGATTTGTCAGGTCCTATCTCTGACTTGGTTTTCCTTGGTGTTTGTTCAAAATTTGATCAGTGGAATGATCCCCTTGCTATCCAATTAATAATAATATAATAGTAATAATAATAATGACAACAATAGAACCTATGCATTTTTGTGGGAAGTACCTTACTAAAGAATACACTAATAGACGTTTCTGCACATGTTTCCCCTCCACCACCAGGATTTGGCCTTGTAGGGCTGCAAATAACAAAAGTCAACACACTCAAGAAGAAGCATGAGGGCTGAAAGTCCATCCCACAGATGGTATTGATGATAAAATACCTAGCAAATGCAGATTGCAGAGCAGGTAGTGGAGGTTTTCCTTTCAAATGATTGAGAGCCAAAAGTCGATCTTTAACAGGTGATGTGAAGGAATTTCTCTCCACCAACAAGCTTCTATACTCAGTGCAGAGTCTTTTGGGTGACCTCATATCGCTACCATTCTGACCTGCTCATCAACTTAAAATATATTAGAAATGGACATAATACCAGTAGCATGTGAGAGAAAATTAGTGATTTTACAAATTCTTGAACATTTATCAGTATAAGATTCTTTGAAGTTTGAACATTTACTCTATCTACTTGCAGTTTTATGTCTGCAACAGAAGTAAAGAAGCTAAAGAAGCTCACATATACAACACTCCCTCCACCCACCCCACCCACCCCCCAAAGAAGTTAATATGTTTGAGCCACTTTGGTATCCACAACAGAGCAAAATTTGAGTAAATGAAGCTAATTTACATATAATTCATCTAAAAATTGAGGAAAATATAATATAGTTTGACAGAAAGAATCTAATTGATCAAACAATTTCTCCAAGATTTTACACATAAAAAAGTCATAAAGAAGTCAGAAAAAGTTAACCATTCAAACAATTAAAATCTTTTAAAAAGGAGGTAGTAATAGCAAAGTTGGTGCATACCAGGGCTATTTTCCAGCTTGAGAAATGCTGGCACTGGGGGTAAAATTGCGGAAGACATGTTTGCAATAGCATCCAATGATGGCATAGGGTCAGCCAACAAGCCAAGGCGATTAATTTCTGCAGAAAGGGCCGGCCTTGCTACGGTCAAAGAGTTGTACATGGAAGAGCCCTTTTCCCAAACCACACTCTCCAAAAGTCGCTCCTCAAGCGAATTCAAGTGACGCCTCAACTCTTGCGGGAGGCTCTCCTCGTGTCTAATGAAACTCTCTATGACCTTACTGAGGTCAAAAGCCATGATTCCCGTCCTCTCCAGAACAGAGGGAAACAACACAGTTGCAGTGGTCTTATGCGTGGCAAGAACTAGTTCGGCGGAACAAGCAAGCATACATCTATGGAACCTTTCATTCGTCAGCAATGAAGTCAAATTACCTCCTCGCAAAATCTGAGACTCTGCCGCACACATCGCTTGCAGGACCCTATAATAAAGCTTAAGAGCTTCGGATCTACGTTGTTCAGCCCACTTATTGTCCATCAAGTTGCTGCTTTGAAGGCTCGGGTTGCTTCCGTCTTCAGCTCCGGCAGGAAAACACTCCTCCGCTGGAGAAGAACCAGGGCCGCTAGGAGACGGAAATATAGCTTCGAGTATAATCTGAGCTCTCCGAATCACATCGGCCGTTACGTCTCTATCGCATGACGACAAAAACCTCTCCAGCTCGGGCGATGGTTTCGATGGGAGCGGATCTATGACTGTGCGCAGCCACGTGGCGGTGGACATTGTCGCCGTGCTGCTGCCGCCGCCCAATCGAACGGGAGTAGACGATGACGACATCTCCGTATGTGATCTCAACTCGCCGCAGCCGCCGTCGCCTCAGCTGCCACCACCTGCCGGGAAAAGAAAGACTTCCTCGGAATCCTGTATACAATACAGCCAATCGAAACCCTAAACGGAGATCAGATCTCTCCGATCGAAGGAATGTGAATTTCAGGTGAAAATCTCTTTGAATTTCTGAATTAATTGATCGTGAGAGAGAACACTAGGGTTTCCGTCTGATTGCCCCTCCCATTCCTATTTCTATCACTAAATACCCCAGCTGGGACCCGCTTTTTCCCGCCACCCCTTTTCTGTTACTGGCAAATATACGCGGGGAAAAAAACGGCATACGTCATCATGCAGGGCCTGTGTAATCACGGACCCGGGTTGATGACGACGAGAATCGGGTCACTCGGGTTGATGTCTTCTTGCCGCCAATTTTCTCGAAGCTCCTACTCACTCGGGTCAGGCGGCCCAACTGCTCGCGTTCGTAGGCCATATAGGACTATATGAGTACTCTTTAATCCATTTGGCGAAAAAAAATCTTTAAAAATAAGATTAAAGCATGGCTCTTATCTTTAAAATAAGGAATAGGAGTGTCCATCTTAAAATAGATGTTAAATTATTTGGATTTAAAACAGGAAAATTTTTTTCTGCATAAGAATAAAAAAAGTATAAAAATATTCAAAAAAAGTTATAGGTCTTTTAAGACAAAAATAAGAGTTTGATCGCCACACTGCCACACTCACTACCACATCGTCACACTGCAATTGCCACATTATTCCTGCCGCACATTCATCCTTTGTTGCTGGTCACCAGAATGCCGCTGTCGATCAACGATGTTGACTGATGGTCCACCGACGTTTAACTAATCACACTGTTATATAACACTATTATCATTTTGTATCACATTATCAATACTAGGGGTGAGCAAGTACCAAACCGATTCAAAAATTTCTTGAATAAACCGAGATTACCAAACTGAAAAATACGAACCCGATAAAATATCAAAAAAGAACCATGTCATGCCAAACCGAATGGTCGGACCGTATTTGGTATCGGTACGAGGTAACTTCCCATAACGAAAAATCTCAAATCAAACATATATACAAATATGTTAAAAAATAATAATGTTTTTATATTTCTTCATAATAAATAAATTGATTTTGAAAAGTTGGTTCAAGTGTAGATGAATTACAAATAATTTTTTTTTATAAAATCATTTATTCAAATTTTAATTTTTTGTAGATAAATATAAAAAATTAACAAACAACTGAAATGCAGTTTTGTTATGATTTGTTCATTTTTGTTTGTGAAATATGAAGTATAAATTAAACTAATTTTTATAAGCATTTTTGCATTTAATTATTGATTCTTCAATTATTTATCATTCTTTATTTGAATGTACTTCCGATTTGTATAAAATAAAGTCTTGTACATTACAAAGTCTAAACTAGGTACGTATATATATTCATTCCAAAATTTACCGAAACCGAAACTGAACCATCCCGAATCATACCAAACCGATACTTTGGAATCGGGTTCGGTACGATGTAAAATCTCATATCAAACCGAAATATTTGGTACGGTATCGGTACGTATCAAATATCGTACCATACCGTACCACGCTCACCCCTAATCAACACTCTCACATTACACTATCGTTATAATCATATTTAGGATATTAAGGAGGTGGTGGATGCCCTTAATAATTCATTAGCTGATTGGTTTTATTTCATGTCTATTATTAGCGATTGTAAAAATCTCAGCACCCATTCCAGCAGAGATTTCTTATTCACATTTGTCTCACGCTCTGCTAATGAGGTGGCACATCCACTTACGAGAGCTTCTCATTGTATCTAGAGCTTGAGGGAGTGGTTGGATTCATCTCTTAACTTTATTTCACATTTAATTTGAAAGGTTTATTATTCAAAAAACAATGTGACTCATATTCTTGTATTTTAGTTATGTTTTACTCCATAGAGATTTTTTTTAAAAAAAAACTCATCACGTAGCCCATTCTTGAAATTCATTCTCGATCTCAATTCTCAACTTCAGTCGATCTCCTTTGTCGATCCCAAAATCATCTCGGTGCTCCCTTCTGCCACCCACCCACCCACTTCTTCACTCCACTACAACCACTGACGCCAAGCCGCTACACCCCTCTCAGACACACCATAAAGCCCACTTGTATCTCCTACATTTAAACCTCGATATTTCCACTACACCCTATGATTTTGGAAATGGGTGCCAATGACCCCTCTATTTTTCTTTATTGTTTTTCTTTTTTCTTTTTTTCATAAAGAGAAGAAAAATCTTTGTGTGTGAAATAATGAAAAATTGTTTTTTCAAACCTACATTTTTAAAAAGTTTTAAAAATAAAAAAATCTTTGTGTTTGAAATAAAAAAATTAATATCATTTGTCAAATTAAATATTTTTGTTTGTGTCTAAACAAGTTTATGTTTTTGAATATGCCAGGACTAAAATAATATTGAGTAACATCTTTTTCATATATAGTTAGTTATATATTATACTAATAATATTTTTTGGACCAATGCACAAAAGATTTCCTTCAGAACTTAATTTTCCCTATTCTATAAAAGTATCTTTTTTCATATACTTTTCTTTTTCTTTATTTTTTCTATTCTTTTTTCTTTTGTATTAATTTTTATTAAAATAAAAGAAACGTTATAACATTAATTAATAGAAAATGAGAAATAAGTTTCAGTGAAAAAAGAGAATATTTTATTGATTTTCGTGTCATGAAAATACACAAATAAAGACCTCATTTGGATAAAAAATGAAGATGTTTAATGTGATACAAATGAAGTGCATGTTAATTCTCGTTATTTAATTGTTTTTTATTACAAACACAAAAATTTTATTATTAAAACATTATAAAAAATCATTTAAAAAATTTAAAAACGTTTATGAAAAAAGTAGTAGAAAAAAGAAAAATAATAAAGAAAAGAGGAGGCATTTGTGCCAATTTCCAAAACCATAATGTCCATAAGGGGGAGTGGAACGATTAACATAATATTTGAAGGATATTTTAGTTCATAGGAGCATTGACGTATCAATATCAGAATTGTGAGGGGCAACGAGGTAAATTTTGAAACCATAGAAGGTAACAGTGCATATTTATCAAACCAGAAGGGTCATGGTACAATAAACTCTTTCTTTAAGTTATATTTAATTTGTGCTCAAATGGGATCAGTGACAAACATCATTTCATTAGCTTTCAATTTGGTCTAATAGGGGACTCTATATCCATGACTCTATAGTAGTTAGGATTGGAATGGAAGGAAATCAAAGAATATTTTGTAGATTGTAGCCCAATTAAGATTGTTCCATAAAATAATGTATAAAAACTTAAGAAGCCACATTTTGGAATAATTAACACGAAGCAAAAGAAGTTTACTCAAGGGATAAATTTAAGAAAGTGTTTTCACTTATCATTTATCAATCTCTCAATTCCCTCCTTACAAAAAGCCTTTTAAAAAAGAAATTATACAACTCTTTTTTTTGAAGCCATGGCTCAAGAGGAAACCAAAGTAAAAATGCTTTATCAAGTTTGGGAGGGAAATAATGTAAGCCAACTTTTTTTAATGGACATCTTCATTTCATGATATTTATATTTACAGAAATAAACAAAATTATCACTTTTATTTAAAATTGAATTGCCCGTAATTGTAAGAAAGATATCCATTTTGGTTAATTAGGGCATTATTATGCTAATTTTCTTGTGAAAATAATTAAATTATTATTTTTTCTATACAAAAAAAAGATATTTAAATCTTATTGAATATATATATATATAATCTTTAAAACAGTATGGAACAATATATATTATGATTGTTATAATTTCCCTTGCAGAAATTCTTATTTGAAGGAAGATTGATATTTGGTCCAGAAGTAAGACCTCTCTTTATAGTCATATTGGCAATTGCAGGCCCAGCCATTGGCTTTTGTGTAAATCTCAATTGCATTATAAGGCAAAAGATTGAAGAGCATGAAGATGCAAGTTCTTTGTACCTTATATTACTAATTGGAGCGCTTCTTACCATCTTGGTAACAAATATTCATTCCGTCCCAATTTATGTTGTTGATTTCGTTATTCCGACCTCTTGACTATTTTGACACCAAGACTGAGTGTCATATTAATATTTGACACTCGGAGACTACTATTATATGTTCTCTTCGAAAAATTGATAATTAAAATCCGTCGTAACTTCTCTAAACGCCTCCGCCTACTCCCTATCCAACTCCACTCATGTTCATTGATTCAGCTAAAAGGATGTGGGCATGAGAGGGGTTTAGGATATTTGGGGTAGGACTATTAATTTTTCAAACAGAGCATCAACCAAATGTCATACCAGTAATATGATTGTATGACACTCAAAATGAGTGCCGAAAAGTTTATGATATTTAATGTCACAATTTGATTGTTAATAATGAATTAATTCGTTCTGAATGGAAGTTAGGGAGAGAAATATGAGGTAGAAATAATTTTTTACAATTCAACTATTTTTGAAAATTGGTATATATATTAAAAATAAAACTCCTATATACCTGATTATTTAAAAATTACATTAAAATTTTACAAAATAAGAGGTGATGAATATACAATATTATTTTACACAATGGCTTTTTGACATTAAAATGATGCGTTCAACTATGGTGCTCCGTTGGTAAATTGATAGTTACTACCCCTAACTTCTCTACACCGTGCAGCACTGTCAAATTGGCAATTAAGGGAGGGGAATTGCAGCTGGGGTGGGGTGTAGGGGGGGTTAAGGGATAAGAATCATCAATTTTACCAACAGAACACCGAAGATGCCTGTGTCACTTTAATGTCAATTTTTTCAATGTTAAAAGATTCTTGTCGATTATATTATTTTATTGATGAATGGAAAAGTATGTAAATAAATAAATTTTTTTATTAAAACAACTCTAACTTTCTCTTGATACAAAGAGGCTATGGAATAATAATTATTGTGAACTTCGCTAAATTTAATATATTTATACATAAATAGAAATTATAAAAATATGAAATCTTAAAACTAAATTTAATAACAAACATTATAATAACTTTACTTAACTTTTTCATTAATCAAAATGTACATCATCCTCACTTGAGAATTATTTAATTAGTTGGATAAAAAACATGTTAACACATGAGAGCAAAACTCAAGAAATTTGAAAATGTTTCAATTAGTGCAGGTCTTGACATTGATGTTTCTAACATCAAGTACAGACCCAGGAATTATCCCAAGAGGATCATCAAAACCTCTTGATGAATCCCTTGACATGACGAACACCTATGCCAAAACTCCATCTTTAAGTATTCCAAAAACAAAGGAAGTGACCGTGAACGGACGCAAAGTGAAAGTGAAATATTGCAAGACGTGCTCTATATATCGTCCTCCCCGAGCGTCACATTGCTCCATTTGCAACAACTGCGTGCAACGACTCGATCACCACTGCGAGTATCTTGGCCAGTGTATTGGATTAGTAAGTTTGTTCTGCTAATCACACATCAATCGATATAAAAACATACAAACTTACATACAAAGTTTTATAGTACTTAATTATACTTCTTGTACATAGAATGATCAGGTCAAGGGGCAAGGGTCCATTCTGTTCAACTTATTTTTTCAGCTTATTACTTATTCGTATTAAAATCGGATCAGACCATATCGGGCCTAATCAAATTAGACTTTAAATATAACTATAGTCAGATCAGACTAGATTTTTAAAAAATCAGATTAGGCAAACAAAATGTAGCCTAATTCATATTCTAATATATTAGTCGTTTCGGTTGCAGCGTAACTTCCGGTTGTTTTTCTTCTTCATTTCAACCACAACAACATTGTTCATATACATCTTTGTGTGTTCTTGGATCAACCTTCATAAAAGAGATGTTGCATCGATTGTTCTCGCTGGGTACTGTTTCATTGCAGCTTGGATTGTGGGATTTTTTACAATATATCATTGTCATATGATTTGTACAAACCAGGTAATCCTTCGTTCTCTTAGCCTAAAAAAATATGGCCTAATTGTGGGGATATAAGAGTGAAATTCCCTCAAATGTTTGTCACACGAAAGTGTATGATATGGCTTCCAACAATAATATTCAAAATCATTTAATATGTATTCCATTTGTCAACTTATATTGATTGTTACCCCTACCTATTAAATAGACCTGCCCCGGAGTACACTTATATCCAACAACATAACCGGCCACTTGGGTCTCACGAGAGTAGAGAATGAAATTTATGTCCCTTATTCAAAGTTTTAATACAATGTTCTATTTGCAAATTTAGAAATATGAAATAAAGTTATAACTTTCAAAACAGTGCCATCTAACCATTGCTAATAGCCATCTAACCATAGTCACACACTCACACTCACATATAAAGGCACCCTTCCATCTCACACAATTTGTCACCACTGCACGTTGTCATTATCAACACCATGGCCACAACATTCGTCACACTCCTACAAATCGATGCATTGGCATTAGTGTCAAAACAATGTCAAAAATAACTATAAATAATACTCTCTTCATCGTAGAATATAATTATCTTTCTTTTTGTTTTTTCACAGTCTTCAATATAATATCCAATATACTACTTTGACTATGTGTGTATATATATATATATAATAAAAATATGATATTTTTAAAATTTATTTCAAAAATAATCTGTCGATATTAAAAATTAGAGTAATGCTAGGGGTACACCTTTTGGTGTACCCCAAATGTACACCACCCTATTTTCCTCCACACATTTTTATTTGATTTTTATTTACTTATTTTTTTTGAATTTTTTTGCCTTTTTTAGTGGACAAGGAGGGGGTGGGGGATATTTGGGGTACACCCCACCAAAGGTGTACCCCTAGCATTTTTTCTAAAAATTATACTATTTTTTCCACAAAGAAGTGTCAAAATATCAAAATCAAGATAAAATTAAATATCAAAATCAAGATAAAATTGAATATCAAAATCAACATAAAACCAAACGTACTCTAAAAAGAAGAAATTGAACAAATAGACCGAAAAGAGGTAGAATAGAAGTTTGCCGCTCACAATGATTTTCAAATATTTTTTTAAATGTAGCCCATGGAAGATTTATTATAAAATACTCCGTAATTTTTAAATATAAGGGATCACGAACATAATATTTTGTAACCTTTGTATTTGTGACCTTTGTATTTGTGAGACTAGTATTTCTCTAATTGAGTTACATTTTTTTTATCAGACCACACATGAGAACTTAAGGGGTACTTTTGAGGAGGAGGATAACCCATACAACAAAGGAATATTGGAAAACATCAAAGAAGTTATGTTCTCCAACATCCCATTCCCACCACCATTGGTTGTTGATTTTCAATCAATTGTTGACCAAGGAGATATATTACCACTTCAGTGGACACCAACATAGCTCCCAACCTGCGTCGAAGGAGATGATATATACTCCCTCCGTCCCAAAAAGTTTGTTACGTTTAGAAAAAACTGCGTCCCGTAAAGTTTGTTACATTTCTATTAAAAAACCACTTTTACCCCTTACTTTTTCATACCCTACCTATCACATCATTTTTTTTTCCTAATAATCTACCAATCACATCCTACTTTTACCCATCACATTAAGGGTATTTTTGAAAAGTCAATACTAAAATATCTCTCCCTTAATTTCCCAAAAAGTCAAACCGTCTCATTCTTTTTGGGACGGAAGGGGTAATATTTACCAAGAGAGACCAGAGTTCGAACAAAAATACATTGTTAGATATATTGCAATGCTTACTTAAAGCCTGAAAGGTTTGAACAATAATTTCAAAATTGTAGTTTGTTGTAAAGAGTCAATACATATATATTAAAATGCTAAGTCAATAAGAATTATGTGTAACTATTTTTTTATTCGTTGTGACGAATACGCCATGTTTCTTTTTTTTTCTTTTTCTTTTTTTTATGTTTACTTAGTTTTATTTGTTCCACTTCCCTAAATAAAACTACTAACGTGCCAAGAGGTTATACAGTAGGGGTGAGCGTGGTACGGCATTGTATGGTATTTAGCTCGTACCGATACCGTACCAAATATTTCAAGTTGGTATGGATTTTACGTTGTACCGATCCCGACCCCGAAACATCGGTTCAGTATGGTTCGGGATGGTTTAGTATCGGTTTCAGTACGAATCAGGATGAATATATACATACCCAGTTTACATCATAAAATGTAACAAAATCTTTTATTTTTGAAAAATCGAATGTACATATAACCAAAGAAAGATAAAAAAAATTTAAAAATGAAAACATAAAATGCAAGAAATGCTTATGCAAGTTAGTTTATATTTCACAAACTAAAGAGAACGAGTTATAACAAAGTATCGTTTCAAATATTTGTTAATATTCTTATACTCATCTACAAAAAAATAAAAAACTCTTATTAAAGTGTGTGCAACTTGAACATAATGAAAATAAACTAAATTGTCTACATTTTTTTAATGAAGAAATATAAAAAAATAATTATTTTAAAATATATTACTCCCTCCGTTCCACAAAACTCTTCCCCTTTCGTTTTTTTTGAATTCCACAAAACACTTCCACTTTCTATTTAAAAACCACTTTTACCCTTACTTTTTCATACTCTACCTATCACATCATACTTTTTCACTAATAACCAAACTATCACATATTACTTTTACCCATCACATTAGGGGCAAAATTGGAAAGTCAACTAAAATTACACTTTTCTTATTTTTTCCAAAAGTCAAAAGTAGAAGGGTTTAAAGGAACAGAGGGAGTAGTATATATGTTCGGTTCAAGAATTTTTGTATGGGAAGTAACCTTGTACCGTTCCCAAATAGCGGTTCGGTTCGTTTTTTTTCGATACTTTATCGGTTCGGTACGGTTCAGT